AGTGCATAAATATAGGGCTTGCATACAAAGCCACTTTTATATTGTTTTGTTTTAACTTAAAATTACTCTTTCGATTTCCCAATTATTTTACTTAAATATATTAATAGCATTTATGATTTAGCTTATTTTATTGTATTTATTTAAAATCAAATCAAATGCATTATTAAAATTTTTCAGGAATCTACTAACGAAAAAGTTAAAAACAGCGACAATGATACTTCAACTGACGGTGAACATGATCCTCATTATGATCCTATAATTTCCTTGCCAGAAGTTGTGGTTTCCACACTCGAAGAAGATGAAACTGAAATGTTGTGTTTGTAAGTTTAAATTACATTAAACAATTTCCAATATTGGTTTTATTTATTTTTGAATTGAATATTTTTTTTATAAATTTATTAATATTAAATGAGTCGATAAATTTTTTTCTACAGGAGGGCTAAGCTTTATAGGTATGATGCTACTGAAACACCACCTGAATGGAAAGAAAGGGGTACTGGAAATGTTAAAATTTTACATCATAAGATTAATGACACTGTCAGAATAGTAAGTTATGCTTGAGTTAAAATTTTTATGTAATAAATACATACATTTAAATTGCATAATGTTTTTTTTTTTTTTGTAAATTATTGTTATAATTGTAATTAAAGTTTCACAATGTTTGCTTTTTGTTTTTAAGGTAATGAGAAGAGATAAAACTCTTAAACTTTGTGCCAATCATTTTATTATGCCTCATATGAACCTACAACCGAGTATTTCTTGTGATAGAGCTTGGGTTTATTCTGCTAAAGATTATTCGGATGCCACAATGAAATCAGAATTGTTAGCCATTAAATTTTCTAATAAAGAAAGTAAGACTATTTTATAATAGAAAACTTATTTACAAATTTTCTATTGTTTGTAAAAAACAATAATAATTTTTGTAAAATATTATTTAGATGCCGAAAAATGGAAAAGTGCTTTCGATTCAGCCAAAAAAATAGTCGCCAAAAATGGTTAGTAAATTTTGATCATTGATTTATTACAATTTAATTATTGTTTTTTAATGTATATTTTTTTTCTTATTAAAGATTATTCTAAAGAAGAAACACCTGTGGAAGAAAAATTATTAACAAAAGGTAAATTAATTTTTGTATTAATAACTTTTATTAATGTTTTTCATCAGACGAAGAAGGTTTTATCAGTTTAATTGTTTTCGTAAAGCAATAAATAATTTTTTTTTTTAATTTACAGTTCCTCCAAAGTTAAGTGATACATTCGAAGAAGAAAGTAAAAATTCATTGCCTGGTAAGTTTAATTGATAATAAATGGAAAATCTTTTTTGTAGCAATTACTTACTACAAACATTACTATATTGTATTATTTTTTAAAAATTTAAATGTTAACAATAAGTAAAGAGAAAATAATTACATATTTACAAGTTTAAGTTTCATAAAATAAATTTTTTTTTTTTTGTAAACTGTGTCAAAGATAGTCAAACCCTGTAGTTTAGCCCTGAAATAAAAAAAAATTACGTAATAAAAAATTAATTTTTATTATAATAATTACATAAGTGAGCTCATTGAATAACACACATAGTAATAATAAAATTGGCATTTAACGTTACCTACAAAAATCTAACCAAGTAAATTTTTATTTACAGATAAAAAAGAAGAAAAAGAAATTATTGATTCTGGAAAAATAAAAAACGTGGAAGTTTCGGAAAAACTTTCATCTTTGACTTTACAGTGCAGTTAAGCAGTTAATGGAAAAAAAAAAAAAAAAAAAAAAAAATTTTATAAAATAATTATTTTATATTTAAAAAAAAATTAATTAATGATGAAATTTAAAAAAATATATATGTAGGTATATTATACATACAGGTATGCAGTGTATTGTGGAATAGGAAATAATTTATATATATTTTATTACATAAATGAAATAATATTTAAAAAAATTTTATACCTAAATTTTTATAAATTTGTTTACAATTATACATGTATATGTAACTGAATGTTTTTAAATTTATCATTCCATTTTGAATTATAATTTTTTTTTATAAAAACATTCTCTTGCATAATTTTTTTTAATATTAAAAGAAATACTAATTAAATTGATTGATTATTGTAATTAAATTTAAGTTAACAACTTTTTTTTTTAAATATGGCATGAAAGTAAAATGGCAGTGGTTGATAATTATTTATATATTACATAATTAAATTTTTTTATAATGTCAAATCAATCGCA